CCTGCTGAAATAAGCCACTTCCTTCAACATCCTGCTGAAATAAGTATTCTGTATACCTCTAAATGTAAAACAATTTGGTATTAGTTTAAGAATAGCTGGACAGATCAAAGAGTCAAGAAGTCCAGAAATGAATGTAAGAGCACTTGGAAGTATAGAATATGAAGAGGGGCTATTTCGTTTTTTTAATTGGAGTTCAATTTGCCAACAAATAGCATAACACCCAGTGTTCATCCCATCAAGTGTCTCCCTTAGTGCTCGTCACCCAGTCACCCCCACCCCCGCCCACCTCCCTTTCCACCACCCCTTGTTCATTTCCCAGAGTTAGGAGTCTCTCATGTTCTGTCTCAAGAGGGGCTATTTCAAATCAGCAAACAAATTATGATTATTTTAATAAAGCATGTTGGGAGAAGTGAGTGGTCATATAGGGGAAATGTTGACTCCCTGCCTCTTATTATTTATTCAAATTAACTTCAGATATGTTAACCATTTAAATTTAATAATTACTAAGGTAAAATGTGGGGTTTTAAAAATATCTTGAAACTGGAGAAACCTTTCTAAGGATGACACAAGGACCATAAACTGATGTATTCATCTACAGAAAATAAATACATTGCCAAAACTCACCATACATAAACTAAAAAGATAATCCTGGAAAAGTAGTCCACATTTTTTTCTTTTTTGAAAAACTAACCCATATTATAGTTAAACCACCATTGCCCTTGATTTATAAAGAGCTCTTACATGTCAAAAAAAGCCCAGCAGCCAAGTAGAAAAATGAGCAAAGAATAAGCAGAAACAGTTCACTGAAAATTCAGGAAATACAAATGATTATTAAAGAGATGAAAAGATGCTCAAACACACTCACAAAAATGCAAATTCAAAACCACAGTGAGATACCACTTTTCATCTATTAGGTTGGCCAAAAATGTATTTACTAAAACGATTAGAGTGTAGTAAAATAGAATAATGAAGAGGGTAGAACTTTACAAAAATTATATGAAGGTCAAATGGACAGTAACTGAAAACTTTAAGTGTCATTTTGCATCACTTTACACACAGACATTTACTCTACAGATATGCCTAAACATTTGTAAATGTGATTTATGTTGTAAAGATGTTCTTTGCAGCAATTTTAGTGAAAATGAAACTACTGGAAAGTCCAGCTTAGAAACAGAATGGTACTGTGGTATTCCTTTCATTATCAGATAAAACATGGATATAGAAAAGGTGCAAATCTTTTATATAGAAACATGGCAATTTCGTAAATTATCCAAAGTCCTTTGAGAATTTAATTCTAAAGCAACTAGAGTCCACTTGGCGGTAGAAGTAAACCTTTCATGCACAATGTACGTCCTTGATTTAGCAATGAAGGCTCAGCTGAGATGGTGGTTGTCATTGTGACTATGTGCCATAAGTTGTGCAGAACACCTGAAAAGATTATTTAACCTGCTCTTAATAATGTTTCCCTAAGATGAGTTTTCTAATGCCGGTGACTCTACATACTTTTTTTTTTCTCCAAGAAATTCTTTAAGAGACACAGACTCTCTAATAACTGCTTTCTAGATTATGATCCTGTTACTGAAATGCTAACTTACTGCTCTATGCAGCAAAAAAATGTTTCCTCTGCTCTGAAAAGATGCTTGGTGTTTTCTGTCAGTTCTTGTGCAGGTGGGACAAACAATGCTGAGCCCCGTCCTCATGGTGGAAAAGCAATAAACAAGTAAAAATAGTTAGTGCCATGTCCGACTCCTGACTATCCAAACCACACTAGAAAGATGAAAACAATTTCCTGCTTCTAAAAAATTTAGAAGACAGTTTCAAATGACTAAATAAGAATGAAGTGTCTTCCCCTTTTATCTGTGTGATACAGCTCTTAATTATTTAGAAATTCTCTCAGATGTCAGCTAAATTTTACTTCATTTAAAAACTATACAACTAGGTACATAAATCAATAACTCACCACTGGTAGATAAACCAGTAAATGTCACTCAGGCATGATTTCACCATGGAGGCTTACTGCATTGTCAGGAGGAAGGAAGCAAACACTCAGCACTTCCTGCAGGGCAGGCACTATTATAATTTTAAGTGTGTGCATTTGTGTATTTAATCCTTAGGGGTTAGTAAGATCTGTAACATCAAGCATCCTTACAAGTGAGAAGGCAAAGACTCAAATGGATTGAGACATTTGTCAAAGATGACTCAGTATGTAGCAGCCAATTCTGATTAACTCACTCTTTTACCTATCCAGTAAATGATTATAGCTATTGCAATTGTTGTAAAACAGTTGTAGCCATTATAGTATCTCATCAAATGTGAGACATAAAACACATCACTGTTTGATGTTCTGCTAAAAAGATTTAACTTTGCGAATCACACCATAATATACACATTATACCATATTACCCTCTACCAAATTGCACGTGAATAAAAGTTTAGGATAACAATGTTTCTGATAAATTGATGTTTGATGTCTTATTGATAAGCCTTCAAAAGTTGATTGCACCAGCTTCAATTGGAATTTCTACTATTCTGAGGCTTCAGTTATATAACCAATCTTTAAAAAAATGTATTTCAGTAACAAGATACAACACGGTTTCAACTCTTTATGAGTGCTTCCTTTCTTAGATACAATAATAAAGAGAAAAGAAAAATAAGGAAAAAAAGGAATTGTTATTTCTCATATGACAAATACTGTTTCATCAATATCAATCTTATGCTCTGTTGTTTCCACAAGGTATTTTTTTGCACACATAGTAATCTTTCATTTCTTTTTTTTTTCTTTTGTAATCTTTTATTTCAAAGCAAATTATGCTATAACCCTTTTGAAGCCATATTAAATAGAGGTTAAATTCAGCATACTTAGTAGCAATGATCTATGCAATTTTGATACGAATGAGTAACTCATGGGTGACTGTGACCATGCTCTCTTATGGGAAATGACAATCACTTTGTATCTCCTGTCTGACAGATAGTATTTGTAAGACTTCATAAATTATAAGGTACATTTTGATTTCAAGAATATTAAAATGTGAAAAACAGTTAAAATATATGAAAAAGTTTGTGTCGAACACAGTGCTAGGAACTAGAATACCAAGAAATAACAGAGTCTTGTCCCTTGTTCTAACTGCTTAGTGTGGGTAGACAAGTAAACCAATAATTATTATTCAGTGTGAGGATAAAAATAATATATATTTATGCAATTATTTATCACTTTCTATGTGCTAATGTATTTAATCTTTATCCCATGGGGGAGGTACATGATAGAGGTATGAACCTGTCTGGATATCCAGGAAGGGTATGTAAACTATCCTGTGTGGGTAAAAAGCCTTTTGTTGGAGACATCACATAGGTGTGAGTAGTGGAGGAGAAGGGAAGAATTAAAATTCCAGGCAATAGCACTCCATCAGCACAGTCAGAGAGGCAGAAAGAGTGGAACATCTGAGGAATACACAAGACAGAGTAGTAAAGGGATGGGGCAATGGGGAGTAAAGGTCCATGAGGCAATGGGGAGGAGTAAGGAGCAAAGCTTTTTTTTTTTTTCTTTTCTGCCATACTAAGAAATTTAGACATTATCCTATCAGTGGTAATTTGTGAAATGCTAAATACTAATTTTGAAAAAGTGTAGTCAGCAAAAGCAGCTCAGTAAGGAACTCTAAAGTTCTGCCCCTCCTAAAAGGAACAAAAAACTGCTAAAACTATGAGAATTTGCTTTTTTTGAAACTGTGAAAATTAACTTTGGTTAGAAAATCTTGAAAGCAGCAAGATAAAAGTAATCTCACTTACAAGGAACCTTTAGTAAGATTAATGATGGTTTCTTTTTAGGAACTGTGGATGCCAGAATATAATGGGATGGCATATCAAAGTATTAAAAGGAAAAACTTTCAACCAAGAATGCTACATCTGACCAGATTACCCTCCAAAAATGAAGGAGAAATTTACACATTCCCAGATAAATAAAACTGCAAGAGTTCGTCACTAGCAGGCCTATCCTATAACAGGTGCCAGTCATTTGTTTGCTAGAGCCATTGAGGTGAAAACAAAAAGACATACAGAGTAATGCAAATCCACATGAAGAAATAAAGAACATTAATAAAGATAACTAACTTCCTAGGTAAATGTAAAAGTATATACATAGATTTCTTGTTTGAAATTCATTTTTTCTGATTTTAAAGACAGCTGCATAAATCAATCTGCATAGACTTCTAACAAGTAGAGAGATTGAGTAATCAACTTCCAAAAAATTCTCGTGTGCTAAACACATTAACAAGTTTGATGGGACATTTAAAAAATGAATTTTCCTAGAAGAGCTAAATGTTAATGAAAGGGAAAACACTAAATCTCAAATTAAAATTGTAACTTAGAACTTTGTATATTGAGTGTATATAAAAACACACCTGTTCTGACACATGAACTGCTCATCATTATGAAAAACAAAGAAGAATCTGTGCAATTTGAAGAGCTCACTATTAAATTGCAAGGATGACATTGTGGCTTCTTTCCGTTGCTATGGGCAAGCCACTTGAATGATTTCAACAGATTCTTCAACTGAACAGAGATTGCTTCCCACTCAGTTATAATTTTACCATGCAGAGGCTAGAAATTGGGAATAAATAATGAAAGAGGTCATGCAGGTTCACATGTATTGCTCTGTGTGGGATGTAGCTGATGATTGGAGATGGGAACCATGACCTGGTGATAGAAAGATATTGCTTCACGATCTGAAAGACATTCTGGCAGCTCTGACCTCAATTTCACATAAGTAAATGGGAAAAAAAGTGCCTATCACGAAGGAACAAGTATGGTTGCTAAAGCTGTAGCTTTAAAGTTGTACCCAACAGAAAGAAGTAAACAATGCCCAATAAAGAAAAGCGCAGAATTCAGACTGCAGTCTGATTATGACCATAGCATTATTTGCCACATAGCTCCCATAATCATTGAGATAAACATTGCAGAGATGAGAGACATATAAAATGTATTAAAAAAAAAACTTTTAGGGGTACCTGGGTAGCTCAGTGGTTGAGTGTCTGCCTTTAGCTCAGGTCGTGGTCCCTGGGTCCTGGGATCAAATCCTGCATCGGGTTCCTCACGGCGAGCCTGCTTCTCTCTCTGCCCATGTCTCTGCCTCTCTCTCTGTGTCTTTCATGAATAAATACAATCTTTAAAAAATAAAAATAAAAAACTTTTATGTAATCCATATACTTATTTCTTGAGAAGAGATTTGATGGAGTAAAGATGGTCACAGTTTCTTTATAACTCTCTCCTTGGAGAAGTAGAGTTTACTTTTTCCCTGGCCTCAATCTAGTCTGGCCCTGTAACTGCTTAAGCAGTAGATTATGGTAAAGTGACACCATGCTAGTTCTAACCCTTTGAGGACTGACAGGCAGCTTTTGCGTCTGACATCTGGGCATACTGACTTCTGAAATTCTGCTTCTCAGAACCTAACCTCCATCTTGGGAAAGGCCCAAGCCACAGGAAGGGCCATGTGAGGTGCTGTGGTCAATCTGCACAGCTGAGCTCCCAGCCTCCAGCAAGCATCAACTGAGTGAGCCATTTGGATGCTTCAGCTCAACAGAGACACCCAAAAACTGTGGCCCCAAGTGACATCACATGACCAGAACCACCTGGGCGATCTCGGTCAACAAAGAGAAGTAGAGGAGTAATAAAATAGTTGTTTCAGAGTATTACCTTTTGGCTGGTTTGTTATGCAGCAATAGGTAAAGTGATCACTCGCATAAGGATGTATGTGAAGTTGTGTTAAAACTTAGGTTTATAGGTGGTATAGTGAAAAGATTAGTAAATTTTACCTCTATCAACAATTGTGTCTACAATCCAATGGTCTCCTCAGAACTTCCTCAAGGGAGTTTTAGCAACTCACTGGATTACCTTCAGACCTGATCTCTTTTCTAAAAACAAATTTAAGGGCACCTGGGTGGCTCAGTGGTTGAGTGTCTGCCTTTGGCTCAGGGAGTGATCCCGAGGTCCTGGGATCGAGTCCCGCATCAAGCTCCCTGCAGGGAGCCTGCTTCTCCCTCTGCTTATGTCTCTGCCTCTTTCTGTGTCTCTCATGAATACAAATAAATAAAATCTTAAAAAAAAATAAAAACAAATTTATATTCTACTGCGACCTGAACAAAAAGTATGTGAAAGACCTCTAAGTGCCTCCAACTTAACACTCAAAAATGCTACCTCTTCTCTAAAGTTCAAGCATGGAGACAAGGCTTTTACTCAGAACTCTACCTTAGTTAAGATTGTTCCCTTGTTTGTTTTTAGTAAGATGAGAGCAGAAAGGATGTTAAGAAATTTTAGATTGAACTTTGATTTTGTCTTTGATATGTTTTTAAAAGAGATTAACATAAAACAAAACAAAAGCGAACCACCTCAAGAGACAATCGACCTAGTTATCCTAAAAGAAAATTTCAGATTTAGTGAACTGTGAATAGAAATCTCTATGTGTTAATTTTTGAGTTTGGTTTCTGAGTCTCTTATCTGAATTTGATCAGAATGAATCAGTGATATAAACCTGGGTTTATAGTTTGTCCCTTTTAGGTTGTTAGATTAGTTTGTCCCTTTTAGGTTGTTAGATTTTACTTCAGATCCCAGAGTTGAGTTAAATGTCAGTATTTGCTTTTGTGGGTTGACAAAACACATTTTCCAATATAGTCTGCTAAGAAACACAGTGCACTTGGAGTTTGACCTGTCTTCTGGGATGACTTTGAGGAAAAGCTACTAGCTGTATGACTTTAAGCCAGTGGCCAACACACTCCCCCCCCCCCCCCCCCCCCAGTATCTGAATCAGGAAGAAAGTAATAACCATCTTTGCCCTGTTTACCTTAAAGGACTATTCTTCAAAATCAAGTAATCCTATATGTATATGGGTCTATTTAAGGAGTGAAAAGTTTTTTTTTAACTAAAATTGTTTTATCATTATTCTTGATAATTGTGCTTCTAGTAATTGTGTATTTTTCCCCTATCCATTCTAGAAACTATTTTATTATACTTTTCTGAGTTCCAAAGTGAATCATTTTTTTTTCTAGGTTGTGGTATCTTTGCCTGCTTTGCCCACAAAGGTCTCTGAAGTTAACTGATATTTAGCTAGAACATCAACCATGGCAGAAATACTGGAGAGAGAAGAGAGAAAAAAAATTCTAGACAGAACACAAGAACTAAGATGACAGTTTCAAGCATTTGAACCCTGTACCAAAACCTTTCTTTCTGTCTCATTTTAACCCTTCCAGGACCTATACTTTATAATCCTCCTGAAGTTTACTGGCCATCAGCTCCTTGTGTCTTCAGTTTCTCTCCACATCCAGCTTAGATTCCATGATTTGTCATTATAATCACACCTTTGCACACACTGTTACTCCTTTGCTCTTCTTTTCTTATATATTTCTCCTATATTTTATGTACATGAAATTACATAGTAAACACTGTTATATCTAGTTAAATTCCTAAAGCTACTGTGTTTTTAAAAAATAATTTATCCATGTATTTATCTGTGGTACAATCCTTTTTAATCCTGAATGGTATTACTGAATATATCACATTTTGTTTATTCTCTTCCTGATAGACATTTAGGTTATTTCCAACTGTCAAAATCATGCATAAAGCAGCTATAACTTTCTTGTACAAATCTCTGTGTGAAGATGTGTTTTCATTTCTCTTAGGTAAATACCTAAAACTGGAATTGCTGGATGTTGAGGTAGGTGTGAGTTTAACTTTATAAGAAACTGCCAAATAGTTTTCCAGAGTCATTTCCCAACATCAGTGACTTAAATTTGCAGTTGCTTTGTCATCCTCTCAGCATTTAGTATTCATATTAGTCAGTTTTTGTTTTGCTTCATAACAAATGTCTATGTAATTTAGAACCATTAAACAACACTGATTTGAGCTAGCTTATTGGACTTTGATGGCCTAGGATAACCTCACTTATATATTTTATGGTTACCTCATGGTCAACTGGGATAAAAGGCATGACTTGGTCATGGATGTTTCAGAAACGAGCCAGGACTCATCCACGCGGCAACTGGATTACAAAGCCAAAAAAGAAGATAAGCTCCAACACTTTTTATTTTCCAATCCTCTGCTTGGTTGATGTTTGCTAATATCTCAGTAGCCACAGAAAGTCATGGCCAAGAACATCTTTAAGGGTTGGAGAAATAGATTCCACTTTTAATGGAAAGTCTGAAAAGTCACATTGGAAAAAAGTATTGCTACAGGGTTAAGAAGGATTTGAGACCTTTTTTGCAATCTTCCACAATCTTCTCTCTGACCACAAATCATTTGTAGCCTCTTCACATGAAAAATATAATCACTCTCATTCTAGAAATCCCAAAAGTTTTATTTCAATAATGACATGTGGCTCAGAGTTTAGGATCTAGCTATCTAAATCAGACCCAAGTGCACATGAAGCGCCAACAACTATAGCTGTCAAGGGTTAGTCAGGGAAGCAGAGCTAACATGAGTATTCCTGGAATGAGGGATTTGTTCTAGGAATTAGACCTTATACAAGGTGAGGGCAGATGAAGTAAATGGAAAGATGTTGCAGAATCAGAAAGAGTTACTAATGAGTCTACCTTAAGTACCGCTACAGGTAGGTAAGTTAGAGCTTGCCGGAAATCTGAGAAACTGAGCATATCCAGCCACTGCAGAAGGCTCAAAAAGAGGAAGTTAATGGTGAGATTTATGGAAAATTGTTGCCTTTGTGTAGCTACCATCTTTGTGGGTCCACAGCCAAGCATTTTTTTCTTTGTTTTTTTCAAGCATTGATGGTAGAACTGGGGCTGGTTTTGGTCAGCCTGGAAGGAGAGTTAAACAACTAGACAAAATGAGATCATATGTGACCCAGTGGATGCATCCATTTGACGCTAAGTCTGACATGGATAGAGAGTAATGAGGGTAATGGCCACTGTTTTCTTATATGCTTTAAACTGTACGCAAGTTCCTCTTTTAGCTGAATCTAAAAAAAGGAAAAGCAATTCTGGAAAATGTGGCCCTCAGTTTAACTAGGATGACATGGAATAATACAATATGTTATTAGTTGTATTTTAAAATTTCAGCATCACAGTAGATCTGTACCTACCCATTATATCTCTTTGGGTTTTAATTTATATTACCCTAATGACTATGCTTATGGGCCATTCATAAAACCCTATTTTGTGAATGTCCAAGTTTTGTGCCACCTTTTTATCTTTTTGCTATTGAACTTTAGAAATTCTATATTGTAAATACAAATTATCTGTTGCATAAATATGTTGCAATGATTTTATTCCGTTGAGGTTTGGGTTTTTAATTTTCTAAATAATAGCTATTTTGAACAGAAGATTTTAACAAAATTCAGTTCACCAAAATTTTGTTATGGTTTTGTGTGTTCTGGGATATCTTTGAATAGCCCCGGTTTGTAGATATATTCTTCAATATTTTTTTTTATTAAACAATTTTACTTTATTTTTTTTATTTATTTATGATAGTCACACAGAATGAGAGAGAGAGAGAGAGAGGCAGAGACACAGGCAGAGGGAGAAGCAGGCTCCATGCACCGGGAGCCCAACGTGGGATTCGATCCTGGGTCTCCAGGATCGCGCCCTGGGCCAAAGACAGGCGCTAAACCGCTGTGCCACCCAGGGATCCCTCTTCAATATTTTTTAATGAGCTTTTTAGATTGAGTTTAAAAATTTTAATTCCAGTATAGTTAAGATAGAGTTTATATTAAGTATGCAATGTAGTGATTCAACAATTCCATATATTACTCAGTCCTCACCATGGCAAGTATACTCTTAGTCCTCTTCACTTATTTTCCCATCCCCCTATCCACCTCCTCTCTGGTAACCAGTTTGTTTTCTATAGTTGAGTCTGTTTTTTTGTTTGTCTCTTTTTTTTTCTTTGTTAATTTGTTGTTGTTGTTGTTTTTTTTTTTTATAATTTTTCTCAGTTTATTTTTTTTTTAATTTTTTTTTATTTTTTTTATTTACGATAGTCATACAGAGAGAGAGAGAGAGAGAGGCAGAGACACAGGCAGAGGGAGAAGCAGGCTCCATGCACCGGGAGCCCGACGTGGGATTCGATCCCGGGTCTCCAGGATCGCGCCCTGGGCCAAAGGCAGGCGCCAAACCGCTGCGCCACCCAGGGATCCCTGTTGTTGTTGTTTTTAAATTCTACA